TTTCCACTTTGTAATTTGTCATTTTTCAATTATTAAAAAGCAACACTATGTATTCAGAAACACTAGTGGTCCCTACAAACTGGGGTAAGACAGAAGGTAGGGGGAGGGTAGACCCTGTAATTCCAGTGACTCAGAAGGCTGAGGCCAGAGAACCACAAGCTTCAGGTGAGCTTCAGCAATTTAGTGAGTCCCTAAGCAACTTAGTAAGAACATGTCTCAAAATTTAAGAGTGGGGTGCTGGGAGTGTTACTCAGTGTGGTAAATGCCCCTAGGTTCAATCCATAGTATCCACCCACCATCTCTGTCCCCACCTCAAAAGGGGAACAAAACAAAATAAAACCTGGGGTACAGTGACTTACAAATAGGCAAATAGGCAGAGAGATCTTTCAGGCCGTTTAACTCTGTATGATTACTTAAAAAAAAAAAAAACTCATTTACACATCAAAAACACCTTCATAAAGCTGCTATTTTTAAAAAACATTATTTTTGGATGGGTAACAGGGATTGAACCCAGGGGCACTCAACCACTGAGCCACATCCCTAGCCCTACTCAGTATTTTATTTGGAGACATGGTCTCACTGAGTTGCTTAGCAACTCACTTTTGCTGAGGCTGGCTTTGTACTCACCATCCTCCTGCCTCAGCCTCCTGAGCAGTGTGCACCACTACATCCAGCATAAAGCTGCTTTTTTAAAAAAATATCAGGACAAGAGGCAAAATCTAAGACCTGAAAATTACATAACACTGTATCAATGTTAATGTCCTAATTTTGATCATTATACTATTAAATAACAGAATCTGTGTCCTAGTTTGTCTTTCTGGTACAGAGGGAAAAAAAAAAAGTGCTAGGGCACTTTACCACTGAGCTACATCCCCAACCTTTTTTTTTTTCCTTTTTCTTTCTTTCCAGACAGGGTGTAACTAAGTTCTTCAGGGTGGCCTTGAATTTGAATTCTTCCTGCCTTTGTTTCCTTAATAGCTAGTATTACAGGTATGCAACACTGCACCTTGCCTATTTCCTAGTTTCAAAGGAAATACACTTTAGTATTTTTATATACGAGGCATCACATCTCCCAAATTTTTCAGAAAGAAACTATGAAGACAGAAAAAGAATGAGGGACCAGGTTGTGGCTGAGTGGTAGAGCACTTGCCTAGCATGCATGAGATCCCCAGCACCACATTAAATAAATACATACATACATATATACATACATACAAACAAATAAAATAAAGGTGCTGTGTCCATCTACAACTAAAATATATATTTTTTAAAAAAAATGAAGTCAATTGGTAAAATATTAACATTTCAGGTATGTGGGTGAGAGTTGAGAATTCTTCATACTATTCTTGAAACATTTTTGTAAATTTTAAATTATATGAAAACTTAAATTAAAAAAGAAATATCAGTAATTCTGAGTAGTGTTCTTCTTATTTTCTGCAAGTTTAAAAGCAGTGGTGCACACCTATAATCTCAGCAGCTCCGGGGGCTGAGACAGGAAGATCAAAGGAGTTCAAAGCCAGAGACAGCAATGGGAAGGCACCAAGCAACACAGTGAGAGCCTGTCTCTAAATAAAATACAAAAATCGGGGTGGGGATGTGGCTCAGTGGCCAAGTGCTCCTGAGTTCAATCCCTGGTACCAAAAAAAAAA